TCAAAGTTGGCGCGATGATTTGATCTTGGATGTGTCATTTGATCTTGGATGTAGTAAGCGAGGTACGAAGAATGGACCCCAGGTCAACGACGTGCTAAGACACTACCTCAATAGGTTTATTTTAATTTATTTAGATGACATTCTGATTTTTCCCAAATCTCTTTCTTTACACGAGTCACATATCCGTTTGGTGCTGCAGCATCTCGTAGATAACCTGTCTGTGGAGGGAGAGAAAGTTTCACGTTGACTCCGTCTCCTTTTTAAGCTACATTGTTGAGAAAGGACAAATTAGGGCTGACCCAGCAAAGATCCAGATGATAAATGATTGTCTCACACCAACAACCATCGATGTCGTGTCGGATTGTGGTCTTCAGTTCACCTCCAGTATCTGGAAAGAGTTTTGCACTGTCCCGGGACCCCTGGCTAGTCTTTCCTCTGGTTTTCCCTGCAGACCAGCAGCAAGCTGGGAGCCTCCCTTCGGTGTGTGGTGTCCTCCAATCTTTCCCAGCTAGCTGCAGGGCTCTCATCGTTCAAGGCTTCCCTGGGGTATCAGCCGCCTTTGTTTTCAACTGTTGAAGGAGAGTGCTTTGTACCTTCTGTTGAACACCATCTCTGCAGGTGTCAGTGACTTTGGAGGGCAACACAGGCTGCTCTACATCAGACCAAAGAACTGAATAAAAGATGTGTCGTCACAGGACTACTTACCGGGTCAAAAAGCATGGCGTGGTGGGTTGGCGCAGCCGACTCAGGGGGCAGTGAGCCCACTTGACTCATTATACCGTTAGCTTCTAGGGTTAGCTTCTCCGCCGTATTTCATCCCAGATTTACTTAAAATCTTTCCAGTTTAGTTAGAGTGCTAACCAGTATCGAGTGGTAGACTAGTAGGAGTTGTTTCAAACCTCACCATGTGACTCACCATGACTCCCCTAAATGGCCTCCTACTACCAGGCAGCACACTTAGCCTTCATTCCTAGGTGTAAGGTATGTGAAGACCTTTGCTCAACTTCCTGTGGAGGGATAGACAGCAGGAGTGACCGCCTGATCTGTACAGTAAATGGCACTTCTAGGTCACCAAATTGCCATTTGGGACCACCGGCAACCCTTGCTGTGACACTTATTCCTCACAGCGACAGGTCCCGGACCACTGAAAGGGGAGTGGAGATGCGTATGAGTTTGTCCATCCTGCCTTTTATGTGGACAACTGTCTCCAGTCTCTTCTGACTCTGCATCAAACTAAACAACTCCTGGACAAATGGAGAGAACTTCTGGCTACTGGAGGATTTGAGGTATAACAGTGAGTCAGTAATGTTCCTGAAGTGGTTTCCCACCTGCCTACAACCACATTAGCTCCGGCTGACTCTTTAATCAAGCCAATGATGAAAGTCCATGCTTGGGCTACGCAGTGATTGTCCCAATGATACCTTGGGTTATAACCATTGCCCAGTCTTCTACACCACGCCAGTGTGGCCACACTAGCTGGGATGAACCTCTCACAGTACCCTTCTTGCCACTTGAACAGAGTAGAAGAAGGAGCCGACAGGACCTACCTTACCAAGGTGAAATATGCCACGAGTTACAGAGTCACCACTCTCACTTTTGAGGTGCATGTGTTCTGTGACACAGAAAAAACTAATGAATCTGTAACTTATCTGAGGATCACATGTTTCCATGGAAATATTCACACTTCACCCATGATGGCCAGATCCCGTGTCTCCGTCATCTCAAACAAAGTTGTCTTCTCGGGCTCGGTGCTGCTCTGACTGGAATGCAGGTGGCTAAGACTCTCAAAAGTGAGCTCATGGTACCACTGCAGACTGATTACACTGTTGTGCTGGTTTGGTCTGAGTCCTGCTGTTAAAAAGTCTTTGTCGAAACTTGAATTACTGAAATTCATGGTAAATGGCCTATATTTGTACAGCACTTTACTAGTCCCTAAGGACCCCAAAGCGCTTTACATATCCAGTCATCCACCCATTCACACACACATCCACACACTGGTGATGGCAGCTACATTGTAAGCCACAGCCACCCTGGGGCGCACTGACAGAGGCGAGGCTGCCGGACACTGGCGCCACCGGGCCCTCTGACCACCACCAGGAGGCAACGGGTGAAGTGTTGCCTACTGGACAAAACAGCTCTGGTCTTCGTGCTGATTGCTTCAGTCCCTTCACCATCAACATAGGCGCAAGAAGAAGTGCCTAACCACCAGCTGTGTAGACCTGGACTTACTGCTGAGTCTTGACTCAGACTCTGTGTCGACTCATCTCCTGTCAAGGAACTGAAATATAGTCATATCATAGTACCAGTTTCTTAGGTGTGACCAAGTTGTCATCATTATGGCCATGGTCTCTTAGCTGCCAAGCTTATTCCTCTGCTTCATATGCAAGATGAGATGTCCTTGTCCTAGTACAACAGAAAGTTTTGGGGTATGATGTGTATTTGCTGCTCAAGGGCCCAGTAGCCCTTGGTGAGTCATGGGGCTGCCCTGAGCTGACTGGTGTGACTTATCAGTGTGTTTGTTTCTACACCTAAGCACTTTTATTTAAGTTGAGTTGAGTCCGTGACAATTATAGGGTTGTGTTTTTAATGAATTCTATGAGCCATTTGAAACACTGGTTTCACGTTTTAGACCTGGAAACTATGTACGTATTTTCCATGTCTCTACATATCATAACGCAGGAAACTGTCTTGTCAGTATGGACTGATTTCTGGTTCTAGATAGTGATCAAAAGAAATGGAAAGCCTGTACACTGCAAAAGCACAATAGATAAAACAAGGTAAATAGACACTGCAAAAGTTAGCTTCAGTCTCACCTTCGCAGTGCAAGTGTGTAGGAGGGCTGTTGGCATCAGCGCCCCCTGTAGCTGGAGTGAATCCTGCAGGCAGGTTATCCAGCATGTGGCTAGAGTCCCTGCAAGCTCCAAACCACAGATACACATCCAGTTTCGCTTGGACTGATAAGCCTGCAACACGCTTACCTGGAGGCTGCATGCACACAGACACACACAGAGATTATTTTTCATCTGGAAGCCTTCCTATGGATAAGACATGTTCTGCGTATGTGAGTTTACCTTGAGAAACAGGGTTATGACCTTGCCACAGTTAATTCCTCGGGCCTCCTGCCTGCTGGAGTACAGCAGGTCTCTGGTTCGAACCCGGGCGTATGCAACACGCTTGTTGTTGCTCAGCAGCCACACAAACATGTCTGGAACTGTGTGCTGGGGCTAGAGATTGTGAGGATGTACATGTGTGAATGAGAAAAGTTGTCATATATAAGGCAAATTTTAAAAAATGACATTTCAAAATTCAAACTTTTTCCTGTGCCTGCATCCCAATTTTGACTTCGATTTTTCCATTTATTTTACTTATATACAGTAATACAACTTCACAGCATCAGTCATCTGAAGTTTCCTTATATCACAAGACAAACACTCTGCAATGTCAGTGAGAGAACCAGAACCATCAGACGAATCCCTGTGACAACTAACAGATACAAACCTCCTCCACAAGAAAGCGGAGTTTATGTGTGAGTTTTGCTGCGTCCTGTAGCATTTCTTTCACACCACCAGCATTTTTCTTCCTCCCTACCAGGGACTGTGCCTCCCCTATCATACTTTCCTGCAATACACATACATCCATTATTGTATGCGGTGTTGTATAAATGCTGTGTACGCTGTTGTTAAGATTGTGTAATGCACATTATGCATATGGGATTCTAAACTGCAAATCTGGTCGCACCTGCCCAGGAGTTGTAAATAAATATCTTACATACTGGACATTTTTGCCAACAAACATCAATATGCAAAACAGTTTAAGTCTGCAATGTGATTGAAATGTATTATAATTGGTGGTCTGTGAGGCTTGTTGTTCATTTTGCATAGGTACTGAGGTAAAAGCAGACAAATTTAATTGAGATGTAAAGGACTGTGATAAGAATTGTACTTAGTTTTCCTACCAGCTCCTGTTTACACATGGTCAGGCGTTTCTTGTCCAGCTGTGTTAGATAAGTCGACTTCAGCTCAGCCTTCAACTTAGCCTCCGCTGTTTCAATGAAACTCCTGACAAACAGCCAAAAACATATTTAGCACAAACAGAATAAAATTATTTTTCCAAATTTTTTCCAGCCCTCTCTAGTTTGCAGTGTTGACTAAGACTGCTGCAAAATGTTAACAATTACTGAGCTTTCAAAACTAAAGTAAAATAAAGAAAAGAAAATGCGTGCTGACAGGAAGAGAAAAGTCTGTAATGAAGATCTCAAGTTTCTCAAAGAGACCGTAGTTCAAAAAGCTCAGGATCTTATCGTTTGCATTTTGTTTAATAAGGTGGTAAACTTGGAAAACCTGCCTGAAACATTGCTGTTATTTCCCCAGTCAAAAAACTGGTCAAGGTAGGACAACAAAAACAGAACCATAGGGTGAATGGTAAATGGACTGGTTCTTATTTAGCGTTTATCTGCTCTATCTGAGCACTCGGAAAACTACACAACTTGCCTCGTTCACAAGAGCACTTTTTTCTATGCAAGTAGTTCCTGTCTAACATTCACACACATTCATACTCAGATCCACTGGCGAGAAACCTGGGGTTAGCATGTTGCCCAAGGACATTTGGCATACAGACTGGAGCAGTCAAGGATGAAACCACCAACCTTCTGATAAGCAGATGACCTGCTCTACCTCCTGAGCCACCCAACAAGATGTGTCACAGTAAAAATAGATGCAACCTGCATGTGACCAGTATGGCTGGGGTGCTGGATGTGAATCAATTTTAGAATAACGCTGTAATGTGACAAAATGTGAAATAAGTGAAGCACTGTGAATAGTTTCTGGATGTGCTAGTGACTTCAACCTCTATTGTACATCCACTTTAGATTCAACTGCTGTACTTGGTAGCCTGGACTAATAAAGACATCAGAAGCAGCGGATTAAAGGTGCTGACACAGATGATGGTGAAACTGCCTGCCATGTACCAGGAGTAGGTGGAGGAGCACCAGCAGCAGCTGGACCAGGCCAAATGCCAGACAGAAATTCTGGAAAATCTAATTGTTCATGCTGGCTCTCTAGCAGTGCCACCACTTCACCCGGGCCCTGCAGTGAGGCTCCACAAGATGGGGGAAGGAGATGACACCTGCCCCAGTCATTCCAAGAATGATTTCAGTCACGGCACAGGAAAGCCGGTGTCCTGTGGGGGAATGGTTGCTGTGGCGGCTGTCAGGGGAGACCCAGGTGGCAGCACTCAGCAAGCTTGACAGCAAGGAGGTGATTCCCGGATGTCTGTTGGGCAATCCTGGACCAGCTGCACCTCACCTAAAGACCACCACCATCAGTTCTGGAAATGGGACCGAGGGATCAGACCTTTGTGTTGCTCTCACCGGTGATGTGAGCTTGTCCAACACCAACCTTGTGGAGGATGAAAAGCGATGATTCGCTCCAGGAAAGATTTCCCACTAGAACAGTCTTGTGACGACACTCTAAGCTCAGCCTTCGATCAAGCGATGAAAATTGATGGTCAAATGATGTGCACTGACATAACCAGAGATAGGCAGTAACGCGTTACTTGTAACGCGTTACTGTAATCTGATTACTTTTTTCAAGTAACGAGTAAAGTAAGGGATTACTATTGCAAAACTGTAATTAGATTACCGTTACTTTCCCGTAGGAACGCTGCGTTACTGCGTTACTAAAACCGTGATTTTTTGCGAGAATGTCTCACGACAGTGACATAAGCGAGTGCGCCGTTAGTGACAACAGCTGTGTGCAGATCAACAATGGATCATATATCGAGTGGAGAGAGAGTATGAGCGTGCAGCGTTTAAAGCGTGGAAGTACTGACCTTACTTTGAGTTTGATTCCATAAAAAGTGACAAAAACATTAGCGTCCATCGTGCGTGGGAAGAAAACTTCTTTTTACAGAAAAAAACCCCTAAACTTCCGAGCAAGCACCGAGTAGCTACGACGTAATGGGAAACTCACAGAGAAACTCGCTGATTCTTTAACTGACCGCGGCACACCTGCACCAGGGTAAACCTCCGCCTACCCCAGTCCTGCTTTACAGGTGAAAATAGAGCAACAGGACCGCTGAGTCTTTGACTTTATTTATTTTCTGCTGTGTTTTACTTGCATCTATTTGAAAGAGTGAGTGTAAACACAAAAAATATTTTATTTTATGTGCTGGAATGTGCAGAAAATAGGTTTAAATGTTAAACTAATTTATTCAAGTCAGAGAATGTTGCAGATAATAAATTTTTTGCTTGATGCATAAAGTTAAAAGATTAAAACTGATAAAACAAGTTAAAAAAAGAGACTTTTCCATTTGATTACATTTTGTATGATGGATTATGCAGAAAAAGTAGAATTGGGCTGAAAGATCTATCGCTTTATCACCTCTTCAGGTTGTAAATCGTGTTTTTAAAAGTAACTAAGTAACTAACTAAGTAATTAATTACTTTTGAAAATAAGTAATCGGTAAAGTAATGGGATTACTTTTTGGGGGAAGTAATCAGTAATTAGTTACTGATTACTTTTTTCAAGTAACTTGACCAACACTGGACATAACCCTGACATTTTCACATTTTGTGTTTATTAGGGACAGACTGTATTGAGACACCACTACACAGAAAGAGCACACCCAGTTATGTCAAAAGTCTGCTGGGAAACTTTTTTCCAGTTCGCTCATTATAACCTGATGTCTGGTCACATGGGATATGACGAAACTCCGGATCCAGTCCTGGCCCGATTGTCTTAGCCAGACAATGGAAATGGTGAAAATCTCTTCCATCTGTTGTATCTGTTGTAGCTCCAGTGGATAAAAATTCTGCTTCAAATGTACGAATTGGATATTCTGTTCGTTAATTTCTAGTAATTCCTCCTGTACTGTCTAAGTGTCCAGCCCACAGTTGTCCAGCCTAGAAGTAATAAATGCAATTTATATAGGCAGGAATACTTCGAAGAACTCCTTAATCCTTTCTGTAGAGGAAGCAGAATTTGGAGATGAGTGGAGTGGGCTGATTCGTCTATCACTGCCCATCACTGGGGATGAGGTCACTGAGTTAGTTAAACAACTCCTTGGTGGCCAGGCCCCTGGGGTGGATGACGTTCCCCCTGTGTGTTTCAGGAATTTGGGGTTATGGGCCATTTAGTCCCTGTACAAGCGTTGCAGGAGTTTGGTCTCCAGCATGGAAGGATGGTGTCATTATGAAGACATTCTAAGCTTCAATTCCATGGACAAAGTTAACGTCTGTTAAGTCTGTCATGGCTTAAAATGTGACAATGGAGTTTGAATGTCTAAAATTAGAACAATGACAACTATTAAGGAAACTGTATTTGCTGTAGGAGTTCTGTTCTCAGTATTTATTGACTTGTAATGTCAGATCACATTTGCTGCTATGCTCTGTGCTATAAAATAATACATTTTTATTCAAATTTAAATTCCATATTTAAGTTGATTGTTTGGCCTTTATTTTCCCAGTAAGTGAACCACGTGAGACAGTCAGCTCACAAAGTAGCATTAAAGAGTTGCTGTGATTACCTGGCATCTGCACAAAAGTCCTGGAGGACAGATTTCATCAGCAGCTCGGCTGCAGGATCTGACTTTCTGTGGAGCTCCCATGCATTTGTCACCCCCTCCTCCTGCAAGACATGAAGATGAAGTTTCTCTCACGAGTGTAGGTGAGTGTAGGTGAGTATAGGTGATATGTTGACATAGTTATCAGGTCAGTCAAAGCCAAGTCAAAGTTTTTTCACTTTAACAAATGTATCAAGTGTCACTGTGTCTTAATATACAGTAGAATTAAGTTTTAACACACTCATCAACACACATCAGTTGTTGACAGTCCATTTCTTTAAGATATGTCATCTATGCTGTTTGCTTCATTTGTAAATACAGCATCTTCATAGTTACAATCTTAAACTAATATATTATTTTTTCACATTATTCAGGGTTTAACTCAGCTAACTTGGTCATTAAATATACAAATCAGGCTATTTTGTGTTGTTATTATAATAAAAACACACAAAAGACTAAAAGTATCTAACAGTGCACACCATGTTTTAAATCTCATAACTTATAACATTTTCGAACACTGAAAGAGATGAGATGTGTTTCGCTCTGTGGAGCAGAGAAAATTATTTTACTGCTATTGTTAAATAATCATCATCAGTACCATTGCATTAATAATATAATTTGCAGCATTGATATTGTATTCAGAGGTTTAAACAGTGTGTGTCTTTTAGAAAGACTAAGTGCAGCAGTTGACAGGAAGTTGCAGAGAGTTTACAGAAGTGAAAGCAGAGTCTAGGTTATTCAAATGGTCTGTTATACTTTTATATTCTTTTACTAAGCTCTTAGTAGAGGTTCTTGATTAAAACATTTATTCAACATAGTACATGTAGTTTCAGTAGGTTATTACACATAAGGATGAGCCTCTGGTCTGGTAAAAGGTCAGAAGTGCAACGGGTGAGATGAGAGGGCATGTAAGGTCAACACATACACACACACACACATTAGTAGACTCATTTATAGGTGAGAGGTTGGTCATGTTTGTCTCTGGAAAGAGGAACAGGTTCCAGACGAGACAGAGATAATGTTCTTTTAAACTGTGTTAAAAGTCATTGTGGTTTTGATTTGACGTATGTATATATTCTGTCTGTGACGTATGAAGGGGCGTCGTTAATTCAAACCCTGATGCTATAAAAATCTGTGTATGCTTTGATTAAGTCGAAGATTAATTCCTGTCTGCGTACAGAATGGTCTTCCCACGCGTGTATTCATTAAAATCAATTGTTTGACCAAGATCTTCTGGACCTGGTTGTTTGTACTCTCCTTCCTCAATTATGTGAACCTTAACAGCTCTGTGTGTGTGTGTGTGTGTGTGTGTGTGTGTGTGTGTGTGTGTGTGTGTGTGTGTGCGCATCGTGTGTGTGTGTGTGCGTGTGTGTGTGTGTGTGTGGGTGTGTGTGTGTGTGTGTGTGTGTATACATACAAGAAGAACTGCTATGTTGTCCAGCATGTTTGAGTTGTGCATTCGGTAGGTTCTTTCTTCCCAGTGACTCAGCACATTAATACATGGCTTCTGCTTCTCCAGAGGCAGGTACATGTAACCACACACAACACACAACACACACAACACACACACACACACACACACACACACACACACACACACACACACACACACACAGTAAACTTGAAACTTTACAAAAAGAAAAAAAAATGATACTGTTTCAGTCCACTACTGTTAATGATTTGTTAATATCAATAGGTTTGGCTAGGAGTGATTTATTATTATTAAATATTATTGACTCTCCTTTATTAACATCATTAGCACCAGTAACCTAATCCATCCATCCATGCAACCTCTTATTCAACAACAGGGGAGAAGCCCAGACCTCCTTCCTCCCAGCCACCTCCTCCAGCTTATGTGATGAATCACAGAGGCGATAAAAGGCCTGCTGACACGCCCAGAACACCTCACCAGGAGGTCAAATCAGATGCCTGAATCACCTCAACTGGCTCCTTTCAATGTGGAGGAGTAGCAACTCTACTCTAAGCTGAACTCCTCACCCTGTCAGTAAGCGAGAGGCCAGGAGAAAGCTCATTTCGGATAATTGTATAGGAAATCTTGTTCTTTTAGTCCCTGCACAAAGCTCGTGACCCTAGGTAATGGTAGGGACGTAGCTCGACCAGTACACTGACAGCTTCACTTCCACACTCAGCTCACTGACACAAGCAACTGGAGCCAATATCTATCTCTTCTAGCGTTCATCTCCACTTATTCATACTGGACACCTACACTGTTATTTTGCTGTTGATGTCTTTTGCTTATATAACAAATAACATGCCTGCTTTGTGCTTTTTGATTAGTTATAGTTAATTTGAGACCAAATATGATGCGTGACTTCCTGTTGGCTGAACCTTTGCTGCATGTCACTCACCCGCTCTCTTTCCATCTGTCTATCTGTGCTTTCTAATAAAGGCACTGTTTATGTTTTATTGCAAATTTTAAAAAGAAATCCACGGTTTGCAATGACTGTCCAATGAAAATTAAACATGCTGTCTTTGGTGCATAGAACAGAGTTTCTGACATCCACAAGAACAAAGTGACTCAACCTGTTTCCTTCCACAATGATTGGTTTTTCTGGAGATGTGGTGGATTTTGAAGTCATGGCAGCGTCTTGAGTTTCTCTGGGTAGCAGGGGGGAAGTAGGGCTGTTAGGGGAGGTGCTGAGAGAGAACGAGCCGAACACATCACTAGTGTCTGGGAAATCCAGCACTCTTGGCATCCTCCGAGGGACTGCAGGACTGGTGAAACTGATAGTGGGCTGAGGGGCAGACTCTAAGGTGTTACCATAGTTACCTGATAGTGGGAGGAATAGTAAATGATAGTTTCATTATATATTAACCACATAAATGCAAGACTGGTATCATTCTTTATGTTTGGATCATGTGACTAAATAATGAGCAGGACACTAAACTCCCTAACACTCCACACATCCACTTACCAAGAGAGAACTCAAAGCTGATAGGCCTGTCTCCAATTTTCCTGTCAATCATGGTGGCCTCAAACAACGCACCAAACAGCAGGAAGCTCTCATTGTCGTCTGCATTAAGCTGGACACAGAAACATCTTCATGTATTCATTTCTCTGAAATTTGCACAATACTCAATACTCTTTTTGCACAACCTACATGGAGAAAGTAATTATCCATCTGGAGACACGGAGGTTTCCAGAATTTTTCAGTGAGGTGATACACGAGGGACCAAGTACCAGGTACGAGCGCATGGAAAAACATGAAACCTGGGTTTAATTTTCAAGCTCATGTGCCTTTGTATAGAAAAATAGATGAAAAGTGGCACTGCACAAATGGTAAAACATGTATTTACACTTTTTAATCATAATTAGATGCTATTAGGCTATTTATTAGGATGCTGCATGTTGCATAAAGCGCTTTGAATCCCCAGACACAAAAGAGAAGCACTAGAACCATATTTTAAAATCTGCATGAAAGGAGAAATCTAAACAATTAAAAAGTGATTTGAAGTACAATAATGAAGAAAACTAGAAAGCAGCATAAAATTGAATATTTAAAGTATGACTACATTTCAACCATACTTAATTACTTTACTAAATGCATTTTTACGCTTCACTATGCTCTCATCCAGAGGGAGACATTGCAGGTCAGTAAAACTACTAAAATCATGAACTGTTTGCAAGTCCTGCCAAAAGTCCTGGAATTTTATCTGACTTTAGAAAAAGGCAGCATGATGTTGCCCCATTAGATGCTTTTTCAGTATGTTGTTAACTCAATGGTTTTATGGTTCCCAGTTAGAACCATCTTTTGTGTAATTGATATATTTAGCTTTGGTGGAAGCTCTCAGAATTAGGTTCAATTCAACTCAATTGTACTTGTATACTGCCAAATCACAGCAACAGTAGCCTCAAGGTGCTTTATATTGTAAGGTAGACCCTACAATAATACAGACAAAACAGGGAAAACCCAACAATCATATGACCC